GACAAAGTTTCACTTGCACTTAAAACAGCATCAGCCAACACCTTGGCTAAAGAAAACTACCCAGCTTCCCCTCATCCTACCCCTTAAATGGTTCATGGAAATGTGGTTAGTCTGTGGAGATCTGTTATCACAACCTGTCCCATACAATAATTTTGTACTGCCTGCATCTGTCATTTCATGCTCAGACTACCACTGCTGGGGGCCAGGGACTATTTTTTTTGTTCTTCGGTTGGACAGCATTAGCATGAGGGAGTTCTGTCCATCACTAAAGCACCTAAGCAGCCCAGTACAAACCAAAGCAGTTATCACACCACATTCTGCATGCACCATGGCAGGGTCACTAGAGGAAGTTGTACAGATCATTAGCTTCTAACAATATCAGAAACTAGAAAAAACTCAAAGCTATAGAGCATATTGTGGTACTGATGGAAATACTAGCTACTCTGAGCATTCTGATTCTGCCCAGTAAATTAGGTGCAGTACACACTAATCATGTTAAGCAAGGTCATCTGTTCAAGTGACGAGCAATCAGCTAAAAATAATGGTGTGCCATGAGTCTAACACCTAGGAATATTGGCAAGAAAGCTCGCTTTATTTTCTTGGCCCTGGCTCTATGACCTGGTCAGACTAACAAAAGCTAATGTCTCTGTCACAGGGAGGACAATTCTCCTGATATCAGTGATTAATACTGCATCTGTCAGCTGGGGATACTTACAGCACTCTGCATCTTCCTCTTAGCCCTTGGCTGTAGAAGCAGTTTTAAGACATTCTTTTCAACAGATGATGTTCACTTCTTAATTTTGCACTCCATCTCCCCAAAGCTTAAAAGGCTGGTTGCAGATGCTGCTAGCTACTTGTAAGAAATTTTACTATAAAGAAATTGCATAAGACTGTTCCTGATACTATATCACAAATTTCCCTGTTTTTCCTCATTTCGGCACTGCCTTTAGCTGCTGACTTACAAAAAGAGAATAAACCACAAGCTGCAAAGCAGATTTAGGGGTTTTTTAAACGTAGGCAAATCTTTCTTACTTGCTTTTCACAAAATACAAATAGCAAAAGGAGTATTTTACATCCTGCCTCCTTCTCACACACACACAATATTACTCTAAATTTTTATTTCTCTTCCCTGTATGGCAGCCTTGATTTTAGCTCATTAATGTGTTTTTGCTACTTAGAGAACAAGCTTAACAGATGTTAGAGAATTAAGCTCACAGTACCTCCTACTCAGCACTTAAAATTATGGCTTTGCATCGGATTCTTCCCACAAACATTTGAAACCTGGAACCCAATCAGCCCATGTAATGTTTACTTTCCTTTTTCCTTACTAAGCAACCAGGACGCGCATGTGTGAGTGACTGCGCAGGAAGGAGAGTTTGTTTATATGCTCAAGCAGTACATATCAGTCTATGCATATCCACTATTTTATTTCTGTATATCTGTGGACAACTAGCAAGAAAGAGTTAAGTGACAGAGTCCAAAAACAAGAACCACAAACCTATTTAAACTAGTCTCTCTCTGGGTAAAGCTCACGTAGATTTACAAATACTTCAGTATCTTACAAAAAAAGGCTAAAAGTAAATATTAATCCTTTTTTCAAGCACAGTGAGCACTAAGTTACTGAGGCTGTTCAAAGTATAGCGTCTCTGCAATAAGATCTGATCTGCTTGCAAAAACATCATTTGATGCCAAGGGTTTTTCTGGAATACCAATCACTTGGTATGCCACCTACTTGTCAACCGGATCCACAAAAAGCACTATCATCTCTAGGTCATAAGTGTCACCAATTAGGGACTCTGCCTAAAGGTATTTCTTGAGAACCTAAGAACTCAGCAGTGAGGTTGGTGGAAAATATTTAGCCAAAGTACTTTATTAAGAATTTAAAGAGCACTGCTGTCATTCAGTTTTATTTACAAAAGATTCCTTTGGTACAAGAGGAGGCTCCAAATCGGAAATTAAGAAACTCTTTAATGCAGTTGAGACGTAGAGGAAGTTCCCAGCACAAACTTCCTGCTTTGGAATCCAGACACGGACATTCATTGCCATGTGCAAATAAAATTTTTGGGATTTTCTATCTACTGGATTCTTAGCATACAGGTTCTGCAGTTGATACAATCATGAGAAAAACAGCGAACCAGAAAAATGCTTGAAATAAAAAGTCCTAAAGGTCCAGTCAGGCAGCTCAATTCCTTGAGCGCAATATTCCTAACAAGACACCAAAATATTTGATGCATGGATGATACATGTTTATGGATTTCCCAAGTCATGGAAAGCAGTGGTGATAATACCACTACCTTTTATACTCCTGAAGTATCTAACTCGGGAAGCCTGGCTTCTTACAGCCAAGAAAAAAGGCCCCCAAAACTTCAATACAGCTTTGTCTGTCCATGGCAGGATTAGGGCCTCATATTTATAACTTATTATTTGAATTTGCAAACAGAGAGAGAGAAAAAATAATTTTTAAAAGACATGTCCAGCTTGACCATAGGACAAGAAGCCAAAATTCCCTCCACAACCACCCCCAGCCTCTTTCTTTGCAAATCACAGCAGGGACAGAATGGCTTTTCAAACAAGCATTTATGATCAAAGGGCTGCAGAATATGATAAATATTTATATGGCCCATTAAATAATAGTCTGTATAAATATTTTTCAAAATGTGCGTGCTGGAAACCACAGACTTCCCAGTTTATCCTTAAACAAATGGGCTAGCTTTCCCACATAGGCAATGAAAAAAAAGGAGGGGTGAAACTGTCATTTGCAAAAATATTTCTTTAAAAAAAGAAAATCCTTAACATTGTTTACTTTAATTTAAAATGAACGACTAAGTAACCAGATGACTGTTTCATTACAAGTAACTACTAAACTCAGTTTGTCCTACCTTACTTCATGGTTATCAAATTGCCAGGACGTACCTTTCTGTTAAAGCTACAGTACTGGAAGGCTGCACACTCACATGCACGCAGGATGAAGCTCAGCAGAAGTATTTATCAGCGGCAAGTATAGATTTTGTGGTATTGTGTGCTTAAATACAAGGAATTATGAAGGGCTGGCACGTCTGTTTTAAACTTTGATCTTTGGAATGCTGCAGGCTGCCCAGACCCAGAGATCATGGATAAACAGTATGTTTTCAGCAGTGTAGCTGTGCTTTTCTATGGATTACCGAGAAAAAGATTAACAGGCTCAAATTAGGCTTCATAATCTTAGCGTGAAAAGATCTAAATATGTTAAATAAAAGCTGCTTTTCAATTGTAGAAAGGCGATAAAATGAAAGAAGCATTTTTGACATTATATTGGAAATTCAGCACTTTATTGGCTTTCTAGGGTTACAGTAAACTAACAAAACTGGTGGTGGTAGAGTGGCAATCCCTTCTTGAAGACAGTGAACTCCCTTTCCTCTTCCAGGATCTTTAATTCCTGTTTGGATGTGAAGAGACAAAGAAGGCACATGTCTGTGTGGGAGAGTGGTGGCAGATGGGGAATTCTAACACTGCGTTGAAGGGCAGTACTAATATAGAATAATACCCTTAAATGCCCAAGGGACTATGCTATAACTATCAACAAGCATTTATTTTTCAGCTACCCAACAGCAAGCAAAACAAAAACAAGGAACAAAAGCACACCTCATCTCTCCTTTTCCCTTCCCAAAACAGAAACACGTACATGCAGGAGATCTCTCAGTCTTTGGAATGTGAGGACTGTGTTAACAATAACAAAACTGGAATAAATAAAAACCAAGCTGGAGAAAGTATGCTTCTTCACTAAAAACCAAAATCCATTCTCTGGTAAATTCTGTGGAGCTTTCTCACATCTTAGAAGAAGGAAAAGCAGCTGCAAATAGTGGAAGAGACCTCATTTTAGTAGTAGAATCAGACCCCAGCTCCCAGTCCCAAAATACCTAGATTGTTCCACCAAAACCTTCCTAATTACCCTCCCCAACATTGTAACATAGTCTCAATAAATCCCACCACAGGACTGAAAATATTCTACTACTTTCTAGTATCTCCTTTTCTCTCTATAAATAATTCACTATGTACTAATCTGTAATGTCTCCATATCTTTTTTTTTCCTTTCTCAGTGTCCAAGACAAAGCCATTACTTCATCGCTGCCTTCTGCCCTTTAATTCTATCTTTTGTATTTTAAATACTTTCAGGCCAAACTACTTCCACCTGCTCTGATATAAAGCAAGACGTATCCTGGTTTATCCTGGTGTAACTAATTAGCAGAGAAATGAAAATGACTAAGTAAATTATTCTAAGAAATGAAATCCAAAATTTATTTATTTTCAGCTTCTTCTGCCTACATAGATATTTCACTTATGAACAGCAGAAACCTGTCAGCATGACCAGTGTCAACAAATATCAAGCTCTTAAATGTACAACAGAGTTGTTTTTCTTTATAATCTGCTCTAAAAGAGATTTGTACTAAAACAGAAAAATGATGCTCGCCTTTCAGTTCCTCTCTTGAACTCACACTGGCAGATACAACGTTTGTATCTTATTTGTAACTTGTATCTTATTTGATACATTGATCAAATAAGACCAACTGCATTCTGGACCCTGATTAAAGAGAAAAGCATGGCTGCACTGGGTCAGATGAAAGGTCCAATTCGTACAGTATCCTGCCACAAACAGCAGAAGCCATAAGAAAAGCATATGCCTGTCCTTTTCATCCAGCGATACTTCCCAGGACACCTTCTTCCTCCTGCTATCTATAGTAGAGGCACTTCCTGAGACAGAAATTTTATCTTTAGGATTAGCAGACCTTGAAGGCTTTCCTTTCTGAATTTGTTTGTGGTCTTTTTGAATCCAGGGAAACTTTTGCAACTGAAAACTACTGTGGTAATGAATTATAAAGTTCTGTGTAAACAGTGCAAGAAAAAGTCCTTTCATTTGTTCTGAGCATGCCACCTGCTAGTTTTGTTTGATGTGCCTAAGTTCCTGAGCTAGAGGAGACATTAAGCAATTGCTCTGTATTTACCTTCTCCATGCAGTCATGATTACACCGCATTCTGAATTGTCCCCAGAAGGCTCACTGCAGCTATCTACAGACCATGGGTGATGAGCTGCACTCAGAATCTTAACGTGGTCAGGTAAGTCAAAAGGCATTTTTCTGCTCTCTGACTGTTCATAGATGTGGCAATAATAAGTACCATAATACAGTGCAGTAGTAAGTACTAATAAGCAGCAAGTAACAATCCCAAGACCGCTTTGGGCAAGTAGAGACACTGCTCAGAGATGCTCACAGTAGAAAAACAACATGTTGTTGACGGGAACAGAGAGGTCCTGCTATGGAAGGCCAGGGATTTCAAACTTCAGGCAGTTCCCAAAACACTGGCCCTCAAAGTATGTCTAAACAGAGGAATCCGGGAGCTCCTCCCAACTATATGCCTGGAGAAGACTTAAGGCTACTGCTTACTCTGGTTTTCTTTGGAAGAAAGATCAAGGCACCCACACGGTTGTTGCATGCCCTGATAGGCTCTGCATTGCAACAGGCACGAGACCAATGCCGCAGCATGCCTTGTAAAGCAGCCAGGCTGCCTGATCAGAGACTGTGAGACCAAAGACAGACCAGCAAATATCACTGTAAGATTATCAACATGACAGTGGTAAACTGGGCTGCCCCATTTGTTCCCCAGCCTGTAACTATGCCGCACAAAAGAAAACAAGTTCAGCTCGCTCTCTGCTTCACTGCTCGTCTAACACCAGGAACAGCAGGAAACAGCTACAGAGAGGAGCTCTCAGGAAAAAGGAAGGGAAAAAAAAAAAAAAAAAAGAGAAGACACATGCTATTGGGGAAACCCAACAGCTCCAGTTCCCCCTGGGGCTCTCTTGGCCCTGCTTGGACTGGGCCATCACTTCAAAAGCAGGGTCTGATCCTGCATCCATTAAAGTCAGTGGCAAAACTCCCAGCCATATTAGTAGTTCAGGATTAAACTCTTGACACTTGTGAATGTCACAGGTGCATTCACACGTCTGCAGGATTTTGAATGCTTGCCATAACCTACAATTTGTCAAACGGAGGAAATGTTGATCAGTTTATGCCAAGACACAATCCTCATGCAGGAAAACCTAAAGAATTAAGAGGGTCTATAACAGCACCCTTTCTTCTCCACACCCTGAAGACGGCAGTCGATACAATTCATGCACACCAATCCATTTAGATCCATTCCCTCCTCTGACACTGCAGCTGCATGCATCCCTAAAGGCTGTGCTAACGATCTGGCAGACAGACATGTCCCAAATGACACTGCTGAATGCTTGAAGCTCTGAAAGAAGACACTATCTTGTTTACATTGACTGTGAGGGGAAAAAAAATGCCATCTGATTATTACATAAATTCTAGCTGTAACAGCTTCATGACTAGTTAAAGGAGGTAACAGGCTCCAAAATTACTGATGGATCCAGGTGGCTGGATCCATCAGCTTACTAATCTAATGCTAAGGAAGACCTTTCTTATTCCTATATCTCTATCACTTTAACCTACCCCATGCTGGGCAGAAAGAACAATCTCCGTTCATTGCCTGTTGAAGAGAGGCAGATTCCTGTACTGTGACTTTTGTATTTTTTCATTCTCTTCTATGCTATAACAGAAATGAAGAAACAAATAAATAAAATAAATACACACAAAAAAAGAAGCATACAGTAAACATCCCTAGCACAATAATGTTAATTATAAAATATCTGTTTAAATTATAAAATATAACTTGGAGTAGAATGCAATTCAAAAGGCACAATCATAGTTCATGTAACCATATGCACACTAGCTTTGAACCGCATTCCTGGAGCAAACCAGCCTCAGCACCATGAGCTTCAGTGCAGGGTACATATGCCTACCTGGAATCCTAGGTAAATAAAGCCATTATGCTACTGTGGGTACCAAATTAGCCAACTTTAGGGTAGTGCTGATACTCTAGCTTTAATCACATCTGTAGATTCCAGTGCTACATCAAGGTTGAATTTGGCACTAGCTGTGTGATTACGTATCAGTAGATCAGTATAAAAATAATTTGTTCTGAGTTCACAGTTTTATGAAATGACAAAACATCAAAATTAGCATTCTGGCTGAAATCCACTGCATTTCCCATCAAGGCTTACGCATTTAAGCAACATCTGAACCAACTGTCTATAATTACTCCTGGCAGATACTGGAACACTTAGGCCAACAGTAGATGCAACAGTGAAATAAATTTTTAAAGACATGCTATAAACCACTTCTTTCAAGATGCTCAGCCCAGAAGCAAACATGTGTCTATAAGTCAAATCCAGAGTTTACTATACACTATTTGTTCACTCTTGCATAGTAAGAGCATGAGAAGAATGACAGCCCTAAGTAATCTGTCATTTTAAAATTAAACATTTATTTGGGCTGCAATTGCAAAAACACTAGCCCTGAAGATCCTGTCACAACTACTTAAGAGTAAGTGAGGTTGCACATTAGCTTAGGTTAAAAGAAACACAAATTCTGCACAAAAATCAGATATCTAGATAGACCATACATGTGTAACATCTACATCCCTTTCTTTTTTACAGTGAAAGAAGAATCACATCTGTTCATCTGAACCCAGTGAGTTCTCTTCCTTCTCGCTACATACACAGCTGGGGGGGTTGTTTGTTTGTTTTGTTTTTATCAATGCAAAATCTGCCTTTGTAATGATCCTATCAGTCTCACAATTTCAAACTCCCACAAAGACAAGCCTGAAAGGGTATCAGGCCAACACCTCTCTGTAAGTTCCCTTCAATGACTTTCTCAAAACATCTCAGAAGCCAAGAGCTTGTAAGCTTGCTTGCCTCAAACAGCTGAAGGTCACAAATTTTCAAACTTTATTTTATGAACGGTCTGAGTACTTTCCCTTTCACATGTGGAAATGCAGAGGGGAAACCGAAGGCAGCTCAAGACACCAACCAGAAGGTATTAACAAGAGCCAAAAAACCAGACAATGCTGATCAGAGATTCCCCTTTGAAAATGAAGCTCAGAAACACATTTCTACTAAGGCCATGCCACTACTGTCGATTTTGCACATCAGGCTCTTTGATATTCCAGTGGCAGGTACCAGGGAAAAAATTCAATGTGAGTCATTAGAAAAGCCCAAGATACAAAACAGGAACACACAGGAGAGCTATTCTGATCCTCTCCTGTAAATCTACTAGTTCTCAGGAAACAGATCAACCTCCAACAGCATTAAAAGAATGCTTAAAGGAAGAACGGCTTATGGAAAGAGAGAAGGCAGACTTACTGAGGAAGTGCAAGAAACAAAATGGGTAAGAGCCCTATTTGGGAACAGGACGATTTTTTCAAAAGAACCAACAGTTTCAAATGATAACTTAGCTGTAGGACTGTTAGAAACACAGGACAGAGTAACAAAAGTGGCTAAGAATACATAGAAAAACTTCCCAGCATAGTACTTGTTTATTTAGTCTCTCCTGACACTATGAATTTATTTCTGCCCTGATTCTTACAGCTGGGAACAGCTGTACCTACAAGAACCCAATTCCCCCTGTTTTCCTCCTTCAGCCTCCTATCCCAGGCACCCTTCCCAGGAAAAAAAAAAAGCTGCCTTTTTTTTTTTTTTTTTTTTACCATATGCCAGTACGTATTCCTGAAGGAAAGGGGACCATTAACATTTAAAGACACTTTAAAATTTCAGTATGTTTTTGTACTATACTTAAGTACATTTAGAAAAAAGTTAATTTCAATAAATTAAGTGAATGGTCTTCAAGGATGAGTGAATACATGAGGATGAAAAACAAGGAGACCACCTTCACAGTAATATGTCTATTACTTTCTAAGAACCTCAGAGATGAGAGCGCCCTCTCCTCTCCTTCCCTGACATTTATTTCGTAAGTGTTCTCCAGAGAAGAGGCACTGATGCTAAATTTATTAAACTAGCTAACAAGTCCCAGGCATCTCTGTAGAGAAAAAAATCTGCAAGGTCACCAGTTCTTAACCGGTGCAGAGCACGTGACTAGCAAGGAACACAGCCATTACAGGGAGGCCTGGAGCGGAGCACAAGTAAACTCCACCAGGTTATTGGGGTGGGCTCCATGCCAGCCCACAAGCTTTATGAGAACACAGCAGCAACTGCCATGTGAAGGAGACACTGCTGCAAAGGTGCAAGAAAGCAGAGTTGCAAGAGGAGGAAGGAGGCAGTGGTGGGAGCAAGCAGCGAGAGGACACCTGTGCCAGAAATACAAGACTGGAAACTACCAAATTGAGTAAGGGCAAGAAATACATTTAAGGAAATCTCCCAGGGATCTGGAAGATTAAGCAAGTACCTAAGCGATGTACGTGTCCCATCTGCCTACATCAGGTCACCTAAACGCTGCCATTTAAAGCTCAGGGAAAATGGTGACTCCTATACCACCACCTTCCCCAGGAGGAGGTATTGGGAGGAAGCGATGTGCCTACCCCAGCCCTGCAAAACCTCAAGTGCCTCCCCAGGCGCTGTGCACCCCCCGTGCTGCCTGGAGCCTGTCAACGCAAAGGGACTGTGAGAAAGGGCAGACCCATTCTCATTAAATTTAGGCATTATATATAGGCTGTGCTGTTGAGAAACATCAGTAAAAGCAAACTTCGGAAAGCCGGGCAGGGAGATGAACATGTAAATCCTATAATATTCCACCCAGGGAGGCCTGGAGCGGAGCACAAGTAAACTCCACCAGGTTATTGGGGTGGGCTCCATGCCAGCCCACAAGCTTTATGAGAACACAGCAGCAACTGCCATGTGAAGGAGACACTGCTGCAAAGGTGCAAGAAAGCAGAGTTGCAAGAGGAGGAAGGAGGCAGTGGTGGGAGCAAGCAGCGAGAGGACACCTGTGCCAGAAATACAAGACTGGAAACTACCAAATTGAGTAAGGGCAAGAAATACATTTAAGGAAATCTCCCAGGGATCTGGAAGATTAAGCAAGTACCTAAGCGATGTACGTGTCCCATCTGCCTACATCAGGTCACCTAAACGCTGCCATTTAAAGCTCAGGGAAAATGGTGACTCCTATACCACCACCTTCCCCAGGAGGAGGTATTGGGAGGAAGCGATGTGCCTACCCCAGCCCTGCAAAACCTCAAGTGCCTCCCCAGGCGCTGTGCACGCTGCCTGCTGCCTGGAGCCTGTCAACGCAAAGGGACTGTGAGAAAGGCATTCTCATTTCTCATTAAATTTAGGCATTATATATAGGCTGTGCTGTTGAGAAACATCAGTAAAAGCAAACTTCGGAAAGCCGGGCAGGGAGATGAACATGTAAATCCTATAATATTCCACCAGCTACATGAAAAACCAGGCTCCAAAACTGATTCGGAGCTATTTAATCACACAGCCAATGCACGCCCTGGACAAGCTGCATGCAGCCCGAGGGTGCAGCGAGAGGAATT